CAGCAGGAAGCTCTATGCAGAAGCCTACTGAACCAGAAGCTGAGCACAGCACCGCAAATTCACAGATGACTGCACTTGTTAAAACCTTGCAAAACACGAAAACAATTGTCAACCATGAAGACACGCTTGAGGTATGGCATTGCGATGAACATCACAGCAGTCAAAGAATTCTGCTGGTGTTGTATAGAATTTATTACTCTGTGAGATGAAAATGTGTGTTGACAATAGCAGAAAATTGCCTTCCATAAGTGCTGTAAATACAGATGGTTTGCAATGCAGTATTTTTCTCAGTTCAGATGATATTAAGTAAAAGTCGAGATAGCTAATAAAAATTTCATAATGAAAGATATATGCATTTAAAGAAAAATAAATTCGATTAAAAGTTGACTTGAGTATCAGACTTTGAAAAGACTCAGGTAGAATTTTCCAGGTTTTGCGTGATTGTCAGTTCTTTATTAAATAACCAGTTTTAATTGTCACTGAAATGGCAAAACATCTGATTAGTGGGAGCAATCAAAACTAGTATGTCAAAGGGACTCTGCACATTCATTTCAAATGAAAAGAGAGAGATAGATTTGAAATTATGTATTCCTTTGTGTTTATTAGTGAGCTGTCATGAATATGACTTAATTGTATTTACCTCTTACGAGGAAGTGAGAGATTTTAAAGTTCTTTGTATGTCTCTCTGACAGATACCAGGCATTCATTTATTTAGGCTATGTCAGTGACAAATTGTCTTTATAACAAATGTCGGAACTTGTCACTTTGTCAGTTACCACTCACAACCTATAAAATCTTTTTCAGTTTCAAAAGTAGATTATTTTTGCTTGTGTTGTGTAAGCAGCAGAACATGCATATATCATACTTCTGCTTCAGAGACTTTATGACAAACAGTTGTGACTGTTGCTGGCTATTTCCCCACTAGCGTGCTCCTGCTTCTGTATGCTTCCTGAAAATAATAGTTTTGACATTTTTCTTTAGTTTAAAAACATAATTTTGGAAAATCGTATTAGTTGTCTAACAATAGTGACAGCAATTCTTTGTACCTGGCTGTATGCCAGTAAGTGAATGAGGCAGCACTGGATAGTCCATCAGGGATAGGGAATTCCTTACTTCCACCTAATAACTTGCTAGTAACTATGGCAGTTGAATCCAGATATTTAAACTTGGCATGCATGTAAGTTTTTCATTTCAGCATTAAATACACTTGTGCATGTCATGTTCAAGAGAAAATGCAATGTGGTAGAGGCAGTGAAGAGATTGTCTTCTCAGACTGCAGAGATAAACAAATCAATTTATGTTTTTTATTTTTAATGAAGACTACCACAGCTTGTTTGCTACCTTTCAGCCAGGTTTGTCCTCTCTGCAGTCCAAAGAACTGGCCTGATGGTTAGTATGGTGGGAAAGATGGTGCTCCAGTAGGTTCCAGACATTAAATGTTGTCAAGCTTATAAGAAGAGTTGAACATTGACAGGCTGGTTTTGCCATTTGTAACAGGAAGCACATTTGCTAGAAAGAAATTTTCCCTTTAGGGAAGGAATTTTTTTTAATTCCTTCAAAATATTATTAGAAATGGTTGTTTTTTGAAGATGATACAATATAGGGCTGGGAGTAGAATACTAAATCAGTTGCATGGCTGCTCTTGCAGCAGTTTATCAGTTCATCTCTTTAAGTGCACTGAGCTCCATCTTATGGTTAGGAACTAGTGATTTCTAGCTTAAATATATTCAGCATCACTTTATTCCTCTGTCGTTGTTCTTGAAGTTCAATAACTTCTTGCTTTTGGAATTTACCCACAGCGTAAATTAAAAGATATAAACTGAAGCTACACTTGCTCTTTTTTTTGCTAGACCAGAAAGGTGAGGCTCATTCAGTCTTTCCTCGCGTAGCTTCCCATTCTTAAGATTATCTTGATCGTGCTATTTCATTTTGAGCTCTTTTCTGCAAAACCAATACCCATCTAGTTAGTTTGAGGTGTTTGTTGGTTCAATGATAATGGTCTAGCTTGAACTCAACTGGAGGTCCTCTCCAACAGTGGAACAGAGGCTGCATCTGCTTCCTCCAAGTAGGTTTTTGCGGATGACATCAGTTGAGTGTTATTCCCATGGAGTTCATCATTGACAATGCAAATCTGCATTTGCTGCTGCTTAAAGATAATCAGTGACAAACATTACTAAATTCAGTTGAGTTGAACTACAAATACACTACATTGTTGTTACATTGCTTTTTTTTTTCCTTTTGCATGTTCAGAGGGTGACAATTTAGATACCATTTACTTAATATTTAAGCAGTTCTTTAAAATTCACAGCATAAAGCTATTTTTCCTTTAGCAGGAGTCCGAAGAACTGTCCTCTGATGAAGAGATGAAAATGGCAGAAATGCGACCACCACTGATAGAAACTTCCATAAATCAACCAAAAGTGGTAGCTCTTAGCAACAACAAAAAAGGTTAGATACCATAAAGAGCGGTAGAAGTATTGTGTGGTTCTGATAATTTCTCAACTCAGAGTGGCTAGTTTTGTGGTGGGTTTGCTGTTCATTTTTTTTATTGTGTAAAAGTAAATATATTTTCTATATTTGGGGTTTTTTTTTAAAAAAAAAAGATGTTCAATTCTCTAGTCAAGCAATGAAAGCAGAAGAAAACTGCAGTAACTTACACTTGAGTTTGTGGTAGAAGAAGCTATGTTGACATCCTGATTTCTTGATTCTTGTAATCAGTTTAAAAGCAGAGGGAGAAAGAAGTTGCATGTGTTTTGGGGGACTGCTAGTTTGAGCAGACTCATATAATATGCTCGAGAAAAGCAGTATTTACCTTGGAATTAATATGTATTTCCCTGCTACCTCATGCTTTGTGGATTATTGCTGCTGTAGGCAACCATGGCACTTGATTAAATTTCTCAGGGTTTAAGAATATACTTATCTTGTGGTAAGTCTTTCTCTAGAGTAACTTTACTCTTTTTATTTTTCTTCTTTCCACCAGCAGGAAACTTCAGAACATTGGTTTTGTTACCTAATTTTTAAATTCTCTGAAAGATAATTTTGATCTGGGTAACCATTTAATTAAGAGTAAGGAATGATGTAAAATTCAGAGAAAACATAATTTCAAAGCTTAAAAACAAACTGCATTTTGCTTCATGTCATATCCTAGTCCAGTACTATCTTGGACAAAGGGCCATTAGATGTAGATGTTGAAGATTTAGTGGGGATGAAGGAAAACTATATGAGGGTAGCAGGAAGAGTCTGCTGGAGATCATATGTAGGTGAAAAAATTGATGTTTATCCATGCTTTTTCTAGGTTTTTCTGCCTGATTCAAGTACTAAATCAAAACTTTCTTGCCACTGTAGATAGACATTGGTTTCCCAATGTGCTTTTGGCACCTCTAATTGTATCTTGAAGCAAATTTTTTTTTTTACATGAAAATCCTAGCTAGTTTGAAGTCCTGCAGAGAAATAATTTTTATATGTGGTGCCCAGCAATAGAACAAGAACTAATGGGTTTAAGTTAGAAAATAGGAAGTTCCACCTCAACATGAGGAGAAACTTCTTTACTGTGAGGGTGACAGAGCCCTGGCACAGGCTGCCCAGAGAGGCTGTGGAGTCTCCTTCTCTGGAGACATGTAAAACCCACCTGGATGCGTTCCTGTGTGGCTGCCCTAGGGGATCCTGCTCTGGCAGGGGGGTTGGACTAGATGATCTCTAGAGGTCCCTTCCAACCCTGAACATTCTATGATTCTGTGGATGTAGCATGTAAGTATGCGTGTGTTATGCAATAACTGAGGCACACAGGTGTAAATTACTCTGAAAATGTTATCCTGAGTGATCTGCAAAGCATGGGAATGCATCGTATTCCAACTCTGCAGAAGAACAGTTTTCTTTTCTTTTTTTAGATATATGAAACTATCCAGAGTTTATCCACTGATAGAGGTCTTTTCAGAGTGCTTGGTCTAATAAATAGCTATTTAATGATGATACAATGTTGAAAATCAGGAACTGTGTACACTTTCAAAATCCTGCATGTGAAGCAGTGTACTTCATTAGGGGCTAATAAAGTGTGATTTGATAGTTATTTTTAGGAAGTATATAATGCAGCACTAGATTATGTGAAGGACATGGAATAAAGCCACAAGTTAAATTTTGTTAACAGGTGAGAGCTGTTTACATAGAGCCAAATATTTAAAAAATAGGAACTATTGCCAATGGTCTTTTGTAAGTTTAAATGAAGTTTGCAACTACATTTTACTTTCTACCAGTAAGAATTACTGAAAAACAAGAGGCAATTTCTAAATATTGTAAAATGCACACAGTAAATATCTATTAAACAGATGTATATCAGTAACTATATCGGCAAATTTGTATTTCAGATGATTCAAAAGATGCTGATTCCTTATCAGATGAAGCTACCCACAATAGCAATCAAAATAACAGCAACTGTTCCTCTCCTTCTCGAATGTCAGATTCTGTTTCCTTAAATACTGATAGTAGCCAAGATATCTCTCTCTGTTCTCCAGATAAAGAAACACATGCTGCTGTTTTATCCAAGATCAGGTTTGTAAGATACTGTATGCCACTTAGCACATATAGTAGGAAAATGTTATTTAATCTTTCATATTATGTGTCCATTCTTTTAATTCATTAATTTATCATTAATGGAACAATTTCAGTTTTAATGTTTTAAAGTTAGTAAATGTAACAGTTTGGGGTTTTTTTAAATGAAAGGACAATAAAATTCCGATGCTAGTTTTAGTATACAGGACATGGTTCCCATCTCTTTTAATAGTAGAGTATAATAGTTTTGTCCTTATAATTCATTATCTGTGCCAGGATACTTTTAATACACCACTTTAAAAGCTTTTATTTGCATAATTTTGAAGATCAATTTGATTACTAGGATGTCCATAAGAGGTTTTTAGAAACTTAACGAAGAATGGACGTACAGGTTGCTACTTGAGGTTTTAAATGCCCTTTTTTTTAAAAAAAAAAAGACAATAGAAACAAGATATTTGGCCAAAATTGTCATGGAACTTGCAAGTAATTGATAAAAAAAAAATTAAGTTATTGTCACTTAGTGTTTTTTGACAGTTTCAAACTGTCTTTAATAACTGCTGTTGAATTTAAAAGGATTTGTGAAATCAGATGATATAAATGTTGCCAGAATGAGCCTTCCAAATAATATATTTCTGTAATGGTACAACAGCAAATGATGTATCTGGTTGTATGTTGGTCTTTGTCCCGTTTTGTGTGCGCAGTATGGCTCTGTTTCATGTTAATGATTATTTTTTCTAAAACAGTTCTTAAAAGAATATGTTGGTTCCTTCGGGAATTTCTTTTAAGAGCTATCTTTTTTTTCCAGGCGAGAAGATGAAAATTTGAATAATCTTTTGCAAAATGGAGGTGAATTGAGCATTACAGTAGAAGAAAAAGTAAATGTGCAAGAGAAGGTTACCAATTTTTCTGAATATGAATTAAGCATTGAAGAAAGATTAGGCCTGATAGGAAAAGGTGTTGATCTAAGCACTCCTGTGGAGGAGTCTCACCAACTAGACCAAATAAACATGAATATCAATAAACTGGTTAGTGAAGAGGCAGTGCCAGTTCCTGTAGAAAGATTACAAATGCAAGAAATAGTTTCAGGAAAGGGCTTTTTGAATAACAACACAAAAGAAGAAAGTGAGCACTTAGAAAATGGAAATAAGTGTCCTATGAATAAAGTAAATGGACATCCTGAAGAAACAGTACAGTCTCCCAGTAAAGACAAACTAACAAGAAGCACTACAGTTGATGGTGATTCTGCTGATCTGTCTGTTTCAAGGAGCACTGAAGACTTGTCCCCACAGAGAAGCGGTCCTGTCATGAAATCTCACAGCATCACCAGTATGGACACTGGTGGTCTGAAAATCTATGATATTGTCAGTGAGAATGGATCTCAACAGTCAAACTCGGTGGTAAAATCAGCATCTGAAAGTGCAGATGGAAAAAACATAGTCCGAAGTAAATCCGCTACTCTTCTGTATGATCAGCCATTACAGGTTTTTCCTGGGTCATCATCATCATCTGATTTAGTGTCTTCTACAAAAACTGTGTTCAAGTTCGACTCAAATCACAATCCTGAAGGTGCTAACGTAGCGAGAGGATCAGTGGCAAGTGGCCCACAGATGTTATGTGCTCCCCAGTATAATATTCAGTACAGCAGCAGTGCAACAGCGAAAGACACCTTGTGGCCCCAGAAACAAAACACCCAAGTAGAACCAGGCAGCTTACCTCCTTCACGTCTGCTTAGGTCTGACAGCACAGACACCCCCAGTTATGTAAAGCATTCTGCCAATATGAATTTTTCCAATCATAACAATGTCCGGGCCAGCGCTGTGTATAACACGCATCAACGAATGGCTGGGAGACATATAGATGTGTGGGCTATTCCACCAAATGACAGACTGCTCCCAGGAGCAACCAGACACACTCTCCAAAGGCAGAGCAGTGTGTCTTCTACTACTTCTATAAATGTTGGGGATACTGGACCTGCAAGGCGGACTCAGGTGCCTGAAGGGGACTATTTAACTTACAGAGATCTGCATACAATGGCAAGAGCTCCACCAGTAATGTCTGGGCAACAGAGACCTCTTTCTGCCAGAACTTACAGCATTGATGGCCCAAATGTACCACGACCACAGAGTGCTCGGCCATCGGTGAATGAAATACCAGAAAGAACTATGTCAGTTAGTGACTTCAATTACTCGCGGACTAGCCCTTCAAAGAGGTCTAACCCAAGAGTTAGCTCTGAGCACTCTTTATTAGACCCTCCAGGAAAAAGTAAAGTCCCTCATGACTGGAGGGAACAGGTGCTGCGACATATTGAGGCTAAAAAGCTCGAAAAGGTAAAAATGATATTTTTTAAAATTTTCTCCCTTTCTGTTACTTGGATATAGAGTAAGTTATATACTCTCTGTTTTTAACTGCTTTTAATTACCAGTGAAAATGCACTTCTAATACTGCCTTAAGAGGGATAAGCAAGTTTTTGATGAATATCCAAAAAATAGTAGACTGTAAATGAACTTTTCCCCACAGAAACAAGTCCCTGTTGTTTTTACATTGCCAGTTTAGTCCCATTTCTTTAGAATATATTAAATAATTTTGCATTGACCTCCTGGTCTGCAAGGCCAGCTCTTGTAGGCCAAGTAATTTTTATTGTAGCATTGTATTTGTATTATACCAAAATATTCCCTTATACTTCATCTTTCTGTTATGCCTTTTCTTCTCATATTTCTTTAAGAATGGGAAAGAAAATCAGTAACATCTATTTGAAAGTATAACTTCAGTTACTAAAGAATTCAAACCCCATAATTAACATTGCCTCCAAGCCAATTGTCTTTTGAAGTTGGATATCTGACAGATTGCTGAATGAATATTTATTGCTGTGAGATGAGAACACTTAAAAAATCTTGTTCATTTCAGGAAATCACAGGAGATTTTGGTATAACTAGAGATGATGAACAGGATTCTTTATGTACTGTAAACGCTATCAAGAATTTGAGATGATCGGTAGAACTGAACAATTATATATCTTCAAAGAATTTGAGTAGACCCTGGAAGAGCATAGTCAATGCTGTCCAGCTAAACCAGTTTAAAATACCACCGTTAAATAACGGGTGGAATTGTGTCGCCTTGAAAGGGAAGTGAGTAAAGCAGGCAGAATACACTTTGATTATGCCAGCTAGATGGATTTTCTTTTTTAATGTATTTTGAAATAACATAGCTTGGCTTGTGATTATTACATTAAATACTCAAATTACGTTTCTTTAGCTATCACAGATATTAGAGATGGTTGGAAAAATTACTTCTACCTAATTTTTCTTTAGAAACCCAAATATTTGGAGCAAAGGGTTTGGTTTTGTTTGTTGTGTTACTGGTGTTGATAGAAAGGATTTTTTTAATTCAGCCTTCACAACAGCTGCACCTCTTCTTGTGATCCAGTCTGAGTCAGATGTAACACAAAATATTTGAAAGTTTTCACAGTACTGTGCTGTGTTGTGGGGGATCCTTTGTCCTACAAGGCAGTCACAAACCTCACCATGTTCCAACCCTAATAAAAGGCACATTCTGTGACCTTCCATTTTCCTGGATGCATATATCGATGCATATATCGATTGCCTGGTTTGGTTCCCTTTATATCTGTCTATACCTTTTATCGTGTTTTATATGTAAGCCCTATTTTTTGCTTCCTACTTGAGTAGTACGGAATACTGCTATTGAGATCTTAGCTGTGCATCTAATTTAACAGGTCTTAGAAGTCTGTTTTGTAGAAGTCTGTTTTTATGCATGTTTCTTTTGTTCTGGCCTTGAAGCGCTTTAAAGTAGCTTTTACTTAGCAATCTGGGACTTATTTATGGATTTAAAAGTGAATGCGTATATAATCGTCTGCTTTATATTCTCTGGGATGTGACTGACTTAAAAAGAAAAATCCAAACTGTGAAAAATATAGATATCATTCTATATGGCAAGTGACAAATATGATAATATGGAAATCTAGGAATTTACTGGGTATTTCTTTGTTCTTTTAAAATAATGGCTTTGATATTTCTGTTTGTAACTAAATATTAGCTGCAGGCAGAGGAAACTTAATCTATAAAACAGACTTCTGAAATGTTTTGAAGTCTGAAAAAACAATCAGTAATTACAGAACTCATTTGAGGAACAAGTTCAATTACAGAGCGCATTTAAGGACCATTTTTTGGAAATTGCTCTGACAAAGCTCTCAGGGATTTAAATGCCTTTTTTTTAAAGCATAAAACACAACATTGACAAAAACAGGTATACAAAATTAATCTCTATGGTGAATATTTAATTTATATCTTCTTGGTGTGAGTATTTACAACAGTATGAGTTAATAATATTACCTTTGCTCTGACACTCCTATTATTGATTCTTATCACATTATTATTTCTATGCTCTGCTTATTAGAATATTAATAGAGTGTAGTATGTTTTGGGGGGTTGGTTTTGTTGTGGGTTTGGTTGGAGGTTTTTTTGGTTTTATTTTTCCTTGGGTAAGCTCCTGAAGTACTTCTTTATTTAGATTTTATAAAATTTAGTAACCAGAGGGAGAGATGGAGAGAGATGTGAACACTTTCAAATGAACAGTGTCTGTTTGTTGGAAGAAATTGGAGAAGCTAGATGTTGTTTTATTTATTACTACTTTTTGCCTGATATAGGTAGGAAGACAAAATTTTTAATAGTTTAATTTTCATGAGCAGAGAGGCAGGTTAGTTTTAAGTTGAGCAAAAATGATTAATAATAGATTCCAACCAAATAACCAGCATTTGTAATCCCTTTAACAAGCTGTGAAGGGGCATATGCTGATCCACTAGAATTATCCATCTGATTCATGGAGAGTGAAAACAGTTCATGAGACCATTTGTAAACAGAAGTTTTGCATATATTTAGGAGAAGCAATCTGCTTACCTGATGCAAAGCACGTTTTATTATGAGATAGAGAAAAAGAGCTTATTTAAATGTCAAGCTGCTCTCTAGTGGTTATGTAAGTAAGTTGTTGGAAAGCATGCAGTCAATTCTGCCTCAGCCTCATAAATTTAGTGCACAGGTGAGTTTTTAAGAACACTGATATTTTTCAGCATATTTCCTTTTTGAGTGTAACTTGCCAATTTTACTACCTGATTTCAAGCAGTAGTCTTCTATAGTAGTCGTGTTGAAATTTTTCATTTAGGAATTTAAACTAAAATACTGCCTTTGTAAAAACACTAATGTCACACAGAGAAATATCTCATCCATAAGTTGCAATAGAAAATATTTGCAACAGTTATCTGCAAATATGTATTATATTTCTATGTGCTGAGTAGGCCGAAACAGTTACTGAGCCTGAATCTGTCCTTTCCTCACATATGTGTAGTTTCTTTTTTTGTTGTGGATCTCTTGGGAGTTCATCAGGTGCATGTTCACTTTTAATTCCAATTTCACTTAGAACTGAGTCCTCTATTTTTTTAATCTACTTTATCTACTATTTAAAATGACAGAGCTTTCAGTAGGGGTTATGAAGTTTGATTCCTACTTTGCAATTCAGAAATCAGAACGGGTGGTTTTATTCTCTGAGTTTCCAGTCTGCTGTGCTTTATTAGAAGGAAAAGGTCCAAGTATTTCAGTATTGAAGTAGAATGGCAGTTATAGTCTAAGTTTGAAAGTTTTTCTTGAATTATTTTTTACACTACATACGTAATATGCAAAAACTATTTTTGTAGCCTCCAATTTTCTCTAAGCTAAGCTTGCTTTAACATGTCAAGGAAAGTAACTTCAGTGTGTCTGTGCATATATAATATCGAGTATTTATGTGCTATAAGATCATAACCCAAAGAACATTTTGGCACCCATAAATTAGAGAAAAGCTATCCATTCAGTAGTTGTTAGTTTTAAATTTTTATTTTTTAAAAATTTTTCCATTTTGAGTGGACTACTGAACCATTGATGTGTTGTAGCAATACTTTGTGGAGTTCAGAAGTCAATGCATCACATTTCAAAAGGAATAAAATTCTTGTGTATTTGGAATGTAAAAAAAAAAAAAATTGGACCCTACAAACGTTTTATGACAGTGGAATTTTATTTATATGTAATTTTTACATATGTCACTTTGCAATAGGAATGCTGTTCTGTATTGAAGATAACTTTTTTGCAGGATCAGATACCTAAATTCATGCCCTCTCCTCTCTTGTGACTGAAGAACACTTTCATAATGTTTAAGTTCTTCTTTAGAATTCTATCGGATTTCAAACAAAGCTGCTTTTTTTTTTTCTTGAGTGCTTTTATTCCAAAAGACTTAAAGCATTTAAGGCATTTCAAGTGTTACAGAATACCTTGAGTAAACTTTCTCTAAATAGTCTTACATAATCAAGGTGAGAATGAAGAGCCAAAGGATTTCTAGACATTTAATGTAGTCTCAAAGGATAACTTAAGTCCACCTTTAGCTGGCAGTTGATTCTGAGAACTGTTAAGTAAATAAATAAATTAAAAGGCTAATACTTAGGCTTAGCAGTATAGTTGCCATTTAAGGATATTACATGATACATAGAATATAGAGTCTTGTTTCCTGCAAATATTTGAACTTTATTAGTTCCTGTTCCATACCAAGATTTCATGGATTGTCATGACAGACTCTAGCCACTCTTAAAATGTCAATAGTATTATCCAATATAAATTCTCATAAGTAAATTCCATTGCTTATTGTCTTGCACCTAAGTAAATGTATTAAGGCACTTCAAGTTCCAAAAGACGCTCTTGAAATCTGAAACTATTGATTCTCTTGTAAGCTGCAGAATGGAAAATATGTTCTAACTCTTTAGCATTCAGAAAGAATGTAATTAAGCTGCCTGCATCTAAACTGATTCTATTAGAGGCTGATTTTGACTACAAATTGTGATTTATATGCTGAGTTACTTCTTCTTTTTTTTTTTTTTTTTTTTTTTACTTTGTACATAGCCATTATTTATTGATATACTGTAGGTTTTAAGTTGTTCTTCATGGTTAAATGACTGATTTCTAGTAAACTTAGCTTTCACAAAAATGTAGTGGAACACACAGCATGTATATTTGTTAGTCGATACCAGTCAGGGTAACTGAAATGAGATCTCTCAAACCTCAAATATTTGACTTATTTTCCAGGCCATTATGTCCTAAGACACTGTAGCAAGTCAGGTGGTCAATGAAATTAGTACTTATATTAACATTCACATTTAATCTGAAGTTTAGACAATACATTTAATCCATATTTAATTTGCAATAAATTTGAATAAAAATCTGGGGCTTTAATGGTATCTGCATATTCAGATTTCCAAAAGTGTCTTCTCTGGTGCAGCAGTCTTCAGGAGTCTTTGTTGCTTCTGATATTGAGAAGCAAAATCAAAAGGAATACTGTTCACACTCTGAATGCCTTGGTTTCTCTCTTCCCAGCTAAAAATAGGTAGAAGAAAAGTACTTCCTAGATTTGTCCCTAGGAAACTCTTTTAGTGTTGAGACACTGCCCCATGTAGAAAAGGAGAAGAATAATGTTTGCTGTTCTTCTTATGTCTTCCCGACATCAATTGCACAATCATTTTTTTGTGCTTAGGAAAATGTCTCTACCAAGAAGGAGATGTTACAAAGCATTGACTAAAACTACTTTCAGGCTACATTGTAGGCTTCACGCGGAAGCTCACTAAACTGAGTGAACTGAAATCTTACTTCCTGATGAACAGTTTCGTGCCTCTACAAATTTTAGGGAATTTCTTTCTCCTGTTGGAGATATATTTTAAACTCTAAATACAAATGTGGGTTTAGTTTGTCACTATTTATTGGCCATCTGTTTGGGTCCTTCTAAGGGAAGAGTGAATCTAGTGGATTTAGAGGTCTTTAGAGGAAGATGGAGACACATTCAGAAAATAACTTTCTAGTCTCACTACTCATTCCTTCTATTTTTATCTGTCTTTTTGCCACTTAGATAAGATTGAGACATGTAGGAGTCTCCGAGAGAAGCTTTCTTTAAGGAGACTTCAGGGAGTTGCCTGAACAAGTGGAGGGAGAAAGCTACCTGCCTAATTATAGATATTATTTTGAGAAGACTTATAAGAAGATGCTCTGAGGCACTAAGAAGCTAAGGAAAACTGGCTTTGACAGTTTCATCTGGATCTTTGGCCTCCAGTGTAGAGGAGTCATAAACTCAGACTGAAAGAGAGATTTAAATGCTGTGTATTTCCTTTGCAAGAGGTGGAAAGCCTCTGGAGACTTGTCTGGAAGCTCAGAAAATCCATTGGCCAGAGAAAGCATAGCTGTAGAAGAAGAGCATAAAGAAAACTCACTGTGCCATTGAGTGAGAGGTTATCCAAGAGCTTTGGCCAAGAAAAGCTAAATATTGTTAGTAAATACTGTTTTCCAAGGGAGTTTCCAATGACTCTGCTATCAGAACATCTGGGGGGAGTATGGTTATGTAGAGGAATATGATTTGGGTTATTAAGCTAATTTTATTTTCACAAGATAAAGTATCGAGAAGCAAATGTCTGCCTGAGAACTAGTGACTGTTTTCGTAATCAGGTTAGTATATGTAGTCAACAGTCAAACACCAAAATGTATTTATTAATATAAGAGTTTTTGCAATATCTTAGTCAAAAGATACATGTTTTGAACTTTTTTTTCCTAACTTGGAAAAATTAGAAACTTTGTTTTTAAAAAAACCAACTTTGAATTTCGTGTGGTTTGATGATTTGTGGTATATCTGTTACTATATTTTTTTATGGGTCTTTTTCACTTTATCAGGATAGGACTGTAAGGTTTCTTTTGAGCCTTTTTTCTTTGAGATCATTGACGTTCTTGAATGAAGTGTTACTAAAATGCATTGCCAAATTTAACAGCATTGCAATAGCAAGAAAAAAACAGTTGAACAAGAAATCACTGTATGTACGGGTCATAGGAGGGAGAAATGATACAAAATAATAACTGTTAATTAGATGATTTCCCACAGGTGTTTATCTTGACTGTCAGCTTCTCTTCCTACAACATATTTGATATGTTGCAAATTTAATGATTTTGATAAATTTTGATAAACTGTGCACCTTTGTTTTTTGCAGACACGTGAACATTTGAATTACTTTATTTACATGTAATTCTGCATGTTAATTGCTGATTGCATGCTGATTTACAGTAAATAAAGGTAATAGAGGTCACTGAGTTGTGTTTTATACATCACAGTGGTACTGTTCTTGCATGGTTTTTATCTTGCATGACAATGGAATACGTTTGTATTAGTCTATGTATAACATGTCTCGTGGTTTATGCATGCTGCACTAATCTCTGTGTTAAATCTGTCCCCTCTTTATTCAGAGCATGCTGTCTAGGTCCTTTAATTCCAATTATGCTGCAGTTAGCAGCTTTCACTATGGCAGCTCTAGGGATCTGCATGGCAGCCAGGGTAGTGTTGCCTTGAGTGTTGCAGACGGAAGAGGTTCTGGTGTGCACATTGTTCGAGTGAGTACCTACAGGAGGCTATTGCAATATATAGAGGGGGAAAAAATAAACTGAGTGATGTCCTTAAGCTCATGGAGTTATCTGTTTTCCTACGGGCAGTCCTTTCAATGAAAATAATATAATTCATGTGCTGGATTTTTTTAATTGGCATTAAATTAAATACTGTGCCTTCACTTCATATGCCTTAAAACTTATTGCAAGGCTTTTTAATTTGATGCCATGAAATTGAGCTCTTTGGTTTTTTATAGATAGTTGAACATACATAAATCTGTCTAGTTGCATTGTATATATGTGAACAAAAGATTACCATTCTAAATTTAACCTAGGTTTATAAAGGTTTGAACAAAATCTTATTATGCTTTTTCCTCCCCCAAACAAATTCTGTTGACATAAACTGTATTGTAAGATACTGTAGGCATTCAAGAAAATTAGTATTTTAGTTTGTATGAAAATGTGAGGAAGTGACTCTTTAACTCTGAGCATCCTGAGCAATGTTATGATATCCATAGTGAGGATAAAGTCAACAGAAGACTTATGTTAACCATATGAATTTTTGAACAGGCAGCCCTTAGTGTTTGTTGACTTTTCTTATCCATTCACTGGTGATCTAAGATATCTCTGCAGTTGCTAGTTTTTCTAAATATCGATCAGTATTTTATGGGTGTGGTATATTAGCTACTAAGATTTTCTATGTAAACAAAGTACTAGTTAAAGAAGATAAAGAACGATAAGTTCCTTTAAATGTTTTATTCTGAGCTTCTTATGAGAATTTCTTGGTTTGAATCACATGAAGACAGTTGTCTTTACTGCTTCATTCTGTTTAAAGCATCCCCAGGCTTCTACTCCAGGAGACCAATGCCAGGATGAAGTGTTCATTTCAGGACAGCAGAATTATTCATCTGCCACAATTAGTCTCAAAGATGTTCCTCCGGACAGCATGAAGAAGATGACTGTGCAGGTAATTATCTACATGACACCATGGATAGGGTGTGGATTTGGGTTTTTTTATTAATAGAAGAAATGTATGTTGGCATAGCGGTTGGAACTGGGACTTCTTTAAAATGTAATACCCAGGTATTGAAGGTGACATAAATGAAGTAACATCCTCTTTTTGGAAGACAAAATGGTGAACTGTAAGAATTGGTATAGTTCTCATTTTTCTTCAGCAGGGGCTTTGAAAGAAGAAATTTACAGCAAAAGATGTAATTGCAAGTGGGAATTGGAATATGACAGATGATTTCAAGAAGGCAATCTGAAGCTAATTAAACCTTTTAAAGAGCAAACTTGAAATCTGTTGTGATGAAATTGTGATGATAAATGAGAATTTGTAGGAGACATTCTGTATTCATCTCAAAGGACCATATATATAGGCAGGATTTACTACAAAGAAACTAAATGGTTGCTTGTACAGTATTACAATGCAGCAATTGATTTTCTTGTTATAACTTCAGTAATTTCAGTTGCATGTCTACCGACATTGCATATTGGGAATTTGCATAGCAATTGATACATGTTGCCTGTGTAAACTGCCTCTGGCAGTGTGACAAGAAGTAGTTTCATGCTTTAGGTTTTCAGAAGAGGCATGTAAGCTGAATACATGTAAGCTGAAAATATATATATAGATGTGTGTATATATATATATGTATATATACACACCATTTCTTAGAATTGTTTTGACATAAAAAACTCAACAGAATAGATATGTGTCCATTCACTTAGCATGGTTAAAGGTTGAAATTTGCATGCTTAGTTATTTATGATATTGAGGGAGAGGGAATATTTTAATACCCTTCTACCCTATAACTAACTATGGCAGCAGAAAAAGCCTGTAGCTCAAGCCTGTAGCATTTTTGGAATGTGGCAATCATACAGACGGATGAGTGACTACTTAGGCTGGGTAAGAGCATGATGCATGTGGGCGAGGAAGTAAGTGGCTGCCTATCTCAACACAGAGCTGCAGACCTGAACAGCAGCTCTAAGGCTTAACTCAGAAACGTCATCTCTAGTGTCATTCCTAGTGACATGGTTTGAATGCAGTGTACGTCCTGGCAGTTGTGCACTTTACTGCTGTTAGTCATTGTTATACCTATCAAATCAGTGGCAGATGAGTTAAATATTACCTTGCTAACATTCCAGTAACATTTATTGGAAATGTCGTTACAGTTTTGATATTAAACTCTTGAGCTTGTATGTGAATTTGCGCAGAAGGTTTTTGGTTTTTTTTGTGAATTGGTCACCAAAAGATCCTTGGAGAGCATATAATTTCTGTCTGCTAGCTGTGTGGGATTTTTATTTTGTGTATGATCTACTAGGAATTTCTACACAATCTCTGAATTTTATGCAGTAAAATTGCACACTATAAAGGTACTAATCGAGTGTAATACTGTCAGTTGCACTGCTAGAAAATAATTGCTTGGAAAAACTCGGTGGAGGAAGTGCTAAAAGCAAGAATTGTGTAGTGTGTTCCAGTTGGTTTTCATTTTTGTTATCAGTAGGTCAGACCTTATGACTATAAATAAAATTGAGTATAATTGTACATGATCCAGAAGAGTGGTTCAGTAGTGTTCCTAAAATTAAAAGCAGTCAAGTATGTGAAATACTGAAATAATAAAGGTGCAATTGAGGGTTCTGTTTATAAAATGCATGACATTAATACTCAATGTTTTATTCAGATACCTTTGACAAATGGACAAATGTGCCAGCCTCAGAGACCTCAGGCAAGCTACAGCCAAGTCCATCATCTTCCTCCTCAATCGTCAGTAGCAAGACATCCATCTAGAGAGCAATTAATTGATTATCTGATGCTGAAAGTTGCCCACCAACCTCCCTATACCCAGTCCCAGTGTTCTCCCAGACAAAGCCATGAGTTGGCAAAGCAAGAGGTAAGGATGAAATCTAACTTGATGATAGGACATCTGTATGTCTCTGGCAGTGAATTGTTCATTTGTTTTCATTTATTTCCATTTCAGTGTAGATGATGACAGAAGTCATACAGGAATTTATTTCCATCAGAAGACAGCATTATCTCAGTGCAGTTCTACTACTGAAATCACATGTTCCTTCTAGTTTTGAGCTCTTTTTACTTTTTGAGAGAGAAATGTGGTAGCTTTTTAAGAGAATATACCAGAAACTTAACCTTGCATCTTTTATTCAAAGCTAGACATTTACTTTTCAACTACATTTACTGATCACCAACTCATTACTTATCTAGTAGTACAGCTCTGAGTATACTTTGCATCTATTCATTGCTGTCAGAATGGTTCAAAAACCTGCAAATGTAGAAATGTGCATCTATAAACAAAAAACAGGATAAAAAAGAAGTGTGAGCCTCTGATGTATGCCTGATAATTATTAGTTTTATGTATGATAGAGAGGTGTGGGTAAGAATTTCTTATACAATTTAATAGCACTTTGATCATAGCGACCTTCCTTCTGCTCCTGGATACAGAGTGTTTATTCTGTATCATTTCAGGAGTTTTGAGAAAATAGTGACAACCATTTTTTATGTGCTAGAATGAGAATGTCCACTTCTGTATAAAATGAATTTTCTAGTCAACTATTTTGGCAAGAGAAAGGGGAAACAGTGCTGGCTACGTAGAACTTAGACTGGAAGTAGGAATGAGGTTTGATTTTTAAAATTCACCTAGAGGTGGCAAAGTAGTAAGAGGAACAGTTTCTTTAATTGAAACGTGTATTTGCTTGGGGCATTAAATTCATTTACCTAATATCAAAATATCTCTGAATTTAAAACCCACGTGAACTATGATTATAATAATAGTGATACTGGAGTAAAACATATACAATAATTCATGATATGTTGTATTGGTTATTTTGTTCTGAACTAATGAGATACAATATTCTGTTGAACTGTGATAAATGCTTTGAGGGTTTTTTTCTTTTTAAAGCTTTTGTTCACCTGAATTCTTAGTAATAATTTCATTACATAGCTTTGAATGCAGAATTGCAGACAGCTTATCTAACTCTGGTTGTAACTACTTAGATTCGAGTGAGAATTGACAAGGATCCAGAACTTGGATTTAGTATATCAGGAGGAGTTGGTGGTAGAGGGAATCCATTCAGACCTGAAGATGATGTGAGTATTTTGTACTAATACATCTTAAAATCATTTTAATTATAATGTTTCTAGCACAAGGAGAAAAAAGAAGTATGTGTATCCCCCAAACCACTGAACTCCAGAACTGGAGGGGAAAAAGCTGGGGACAAAAGATGTGAAAAATCAAGGTGGTAGGTGACCACAGGGGTCACGCAGCAATAGCACAAATACAGGCTGGGCGGTAAGCGAATTGAGAGCAGTGCTACAGAGAAAGACCTGAGGGTGTCGGTGGATGAAAAACTGAATATGAGCCAGTTATGCAAGCTCACAGCCTGAAAGGCCAATCGCATCCTGGGCTGCATCAGGAGCAGAGTGGCCGGCAGGCTGAGGGAGGTGATTCTCCCTCTCTGCTCTAGTGAGACCCCACCTGCAGTGCTGTGTCTGGCTGTGCAGCCCTCAGCACAAGATGGAAATGGAGTTGCTGAAGAGTCCAGAGGAGGGAGACAAAAATTATTGAAGTGCTGGAGCACCTTTCCTACACGGATGGTCTGAGGGAGTTGGAGTTTTCAGTCTGGAGAAGAGAAGGCTCTGCAGAGACCTTATAGTGGCCTTCCAGTATTTGAAGGGGGCATACAGGAAAGCTAGGCAGGGACTGTTTAGAAGGATGTGTAGCAACAGGATGAGGGGTAATGGTTTCATGCTGAAAGGGGGTACATTTATACAGAAATTAGGAAGAAACTTTCTACAGTGAGGTGGTGAAGCACTGGAAAAGGTTGTCCAGAGATGCTGTGGAAGGCCTTCCCTGAAAGTGTTCAAGGCCAGGCTGGATGGGGCTTTGAGCAACCTGATCTAGTGGGAGGTGTTCCTGCCCATAGCAAGGAAGTTGGAGCTAGATGGTCTTTAAGGTCCCTTCCGACTTAGACTGTTCTATGATACTAGCAGAGCGGGTCTTGCAGTTCTAGGTATCAGTCAACAGATTTGAGATGGTGAATTATGGAGCTTACAGTTAGGAAGCCTCTTTTAAGAGAACATGATTTAGTTTACAGCCTTTGTTCTGGCTGTAGATAATTCATCTTGACGTAGACGTGCCAAATTAAACAGAGGCAGATCAGAATTTGCCCTTCAATACTCTTCTTTAAAGGCAACTCTTCTGAATTTCACATCAGAAAAGGAAAGTAGTCATAGAAGCTGATGGACCTGTGGAATAATGTTGCATTCTCCTCTACTTAGGATGGAAAATTGAAAAAATGTTTTGAATTATGTCTGTTTCGTTCTACCCTGCTATTCCTGAAATGAGTTGTCACAAACATTCTCCACCTCTGTTTTTCAAGGGTATATTTGTAACCAGAGTGCAACCAGAAGGACCAGCATCTAAGCTGTTGCAGCCTGGAGATAAAATAATTCAGGTAATGTGGTCATCTGATTAACTAGTCTATGCAATGTAATATAATTTTTAGTTTGCAACCTTTCTAAGAGCAGAATGTTTAATTTTTAGATAGATTACCACTATCCTTTCCAGAAGCGGTTCCAGTATTCTTCCACCTAACATTAGGACAGGTGATACAGGCTGAAGTATTAATCATTTGGATTGTTTTTTCAAACTGTGAGCATTTTTCACTCTTTCGAAAACAAAAAAACCCGAAACAGTTCCAATGTTGTTATTCAGCAGGGAACATGAGCATTAGGCTTTGCCACCATTACTTGACTTGTGGGGATTCACAATGCAGTGTTCTGAATAACGTGTTGCCTCTACACCAGCAGTTGCCCCTCATAGCCCCTCTCAACAGCTGCCCCTTGCTGTTGCATCCCTTTCAGTCCTGCAGTTCCTGCCAGCCTTTGCCACCTCTCCCTTGGCCGAGAGGCTGGACCTGCCTAAGTGCTGGTAGAAGCTGTCTCTGTGCTGACTGATGCTCGGCTGGTCACAGCGTGTACCCCCCCAGCCGCCACAGGCAAGCCAAGAAGGTTGCTTCAGGAGTCGTGGCTTCTGGGCTGCAGCCCTGCAAGTTCTTTTCTGTAGGAAGTTGGTACCTTTCAGGCCTCTTCTGCATCAAGTTTGTTTGAGGTTGTCTAATGAGCTCATAAGCTATTTGAGGAGGGGTCAGTGAAACAGACTGGGATGATATAAGCCTTACTTACTTAGGGAAGCAGGCTAACAGGACATTTGAACAGTGCTGCAGCCACCCTTGAAGTTTCAGAACTTGTTAAAAATCATTATCCAACACATCACTTATTTGGCTTTTTTTTGAGTATGGTAAGAAATTCTGTCCTTGTTCTTCCTCACTGGGGTGAGAGAGGCTCTAGTTCTTTTACTGATGTGGATGGCTTCAACTTCATTTCTAGCGAAGTTTCCTTTTTGGCACTGCTTGTGTTTTGTTTTTTGTTGAATGAGAAATCCATAGTTTGTAAAAGACTTGTAGGAGAAGTTGAATTTGCATGCAGGCTGTTTCATTTCTCATAACTAAGAATACTTTTTTTTGCATAATGACACAGTTCTTTCTATCTGTGATGATCCCAGAGACAATGTAACAGTAACAGTCTTGTTGCTGCTTAGACGACTGCTGCAGGTTTTGACTGAATGTGATCTCTGCCAGTATGACTTTGCTATGCTTGCTTTTGCAGCATTCTCTGTAAAACATGCAGTAGGTATGCATATTACAATGTGTGTCTAATAAAGATACTCTACATGAGCAATGACTAGGTAATTGCATATAAGTCTTAAGATACTGTTGCATATTAGGTTAGGGCTAGGATAACCTGTACAGATGGTGGGTTGGAAGGGTTATTGCCACTTTTTCTCTCTGAACAGTCTAGATGTAAATACTCCTCTGCAGCCTTAGATTTAAAAAACTGCTGCCCTTACATCAGAGGGTTCAGCTGGTAGCAGCAGGAAGTGTTTGGTGATGGGATAAGGAACTGCAGCTCTAAAATGGCATAGCTGAGGCACAGAGCACATGGCCAGTTCTCTCTGTTGCCACTTAAGGGCCAGTAGTTCAGGGAGAAAGGCTGAGTTGCACAGCTGGAAGCTGTAACAGTTTAACCTGGATGAATCTGTCATTCTGCAAGATTTTACCACCCAAACTGAATATGAATTTGCAGTGGTACACCTGAAAAAGTTGAACTGTAGCCATGTTTTCCCTGTCTTTTTTGGGCTTCTTAGGCTTTCCTGTGTTTGCTAAGCCAAACCTGTCCCAAGAGTGACAGTGTTGTTTGAGGTCATGGGGAGATTCAAGCTAGGGTGATCTTGGGAGGTCTTACACACTAGTATGGCTCCCAATGCCATTAATGTTTTTTTGTTAAAGGCTTCAGTAGTTTTAACTTACCACAAATGACATTTCTCTTATTCTGATATTTGAACTGGGATTTATCATTTGTACTGCATTTGTGTTTTTTGGTGTCACTCCATTAAGGCTGATGAATTAGATTTCTGATGTTAATGGCTTAAAGTTCAGTTTTCTTTTGGCTATTTGCAAAATCTTTGGGTCAAAATTTTTTCCCAGACTGACACAGTAGTGTAATTTTTTGTAGCATGCAGGTATATATTCAGCTCACATCAACTATGTAATCTGCAAATCTGCAGTGTTTTATTTTCTATGTTCACATAGAATTTGATTATTTTAAAACTTAAAGCTTTAATAAACTAACGTGAAATAGGAGACGTTTCACTAACACTGCATATGAGACTGTCATTTTCAATTTTATATTTCTTTTTAGGCTAATGGATACAGCTTCATCAATATTGATCACGGACAAGCAGTATCATTGCTGAAGACTTTTCAGAATGCAGTGGAACTCATCATTGTGCGAGAAGTTTCTTCATAAATACTGTGGATTGAGGGGGAGAAGCCAGCAGGATTCATTGAAGGACTTATGGGAAACTGAATATTTTGCCTATTTTTATATGTGAAAGGAACTTGAAAAGAATTATGATCAAAATTTGTACAGGAAATACTGAACTTGTGGTTAAAGGGGAAAAAAAACACTGTATAGAACATACAGGAAATCATTTTGAAAATGCATATGGTGAATAAACTTGTTTTTAAGCATTATTGCAATCTAAGGATCACTCCTCCAAAAACAAACCTGTGGCTTTTTTTGTACAGATGGTAGGTTTATTTTTGGATAAATTCATACACATTACTAAACTTTGTGCAAGGCTTTGCGAAGCCTCAGCTGTAGCCAGTGGACAGATGGCAGGGCTGTCTGTCCTGTAGCTGTTTATTGCCTTTATTTTTATTCACCAGATACTAATGTGTTGTGCTAAAACCACTTCTGTAGATATGAACAGGGGATATGAAGTCTTGGTTTTGCTATGTGCACATTGTACTGGTGAATGGGTAGATGGAAGGAGGTGCTGGTTGGACAGAATAAAGGTCAGGTGAAACAATTATCTGCTATCTAAATCTGGAATTGGGAAAGAAGAAAATGTGGTTAGTTCTAGAGTGTACGTCTACCAATAGAAAATGCAATAAAAGCTTATGGTGTTTTTTAGGAAGACTGTAACTACAAATTTGTGATATTCTACAGGATTTGCTCTTACTGTAGTCATTGCACATTCATTTGCTGCATGCGGTTCATGTTTAGTTGGGCTTTCTTGCATACATATTTTTTTCAGCTGTACTGTGGAAATGTACCCAGAGGCTTTTCTCTGCTGTGGAAATCCCCAATTTTGTGCAAACAGTGATGCTTTTATCTTTATGGAAAGTACTCCATGGTAACCGTATAGATTTTAAAAGTGAAACTGAAATGGCCAGTTTTTAAGGTTGTTGCCTGTAATATACATTGAAACACACACAAAGTAAATGATGCAGGAAGGGTTATGAAAGACATCTTGATTTTTGTTTGCCCTCTGCATTGCCTTGTTAATCAAAAAGGAAGACATGCGCATGGAGCTAGGTAACCAAAGCAAGTTTGTGGAACTTTGAACAGTGATGGAGAATTGCTGTGGTGAGGTGGAGAGCAAAGGGAGTGAGTACTTAGAACCCACCAGATCGTAATGATATTTCTTAAAGGGCTGTTCCTACAGGTAACATTAAATGTGAACTAGACACTTCAGAGTCATTAAAGGGTTTCTAACTATATTAATGTAATAGTGATTTACCACAGGCTGCCTTTGTTCCTTATTACTGTATAAAATATTCAATTATGCTTCTATTAATTTTGTTTACCTGAATCATTAACTTTATTTTTCTCTTTCTCCTTTATAATTGAATAGAGGCTGCATAGTCTGCAGTGATAATTAATACACGGTTGTTATGGACCAGGGAAAAGTGCCATAGAAGACCAATAACTGTTTTTAATCAGGGCTAATGATTAGCCTGTCATTGGAGCAATATTCAGTAATTGTAGTTCATTTTCAATTGCATATAAGTTGGTAGTTTGAGACAGGTATAAGTTGCTTTCTTCAACCCATGTGTACAAAAGTAAATGCATTTAATAAAGCTGGCAAAAACACCAGCCTTCTTCACTTTGGGGATAATGAGGAGGAAGAGAGAGGAGTTATACATAGCTAGTGGTAGTAAACAGGCAGTACTTTTTAAATACGTGAACTCCAATATTGTTGCACTTCTTTCAAAGATGTTAACTGTTGCTTATTGTACTGTGTATAGTTCTAATAATATTAATTGAAACCCTTTAACAACTCTTTGTATATTAATTTTTTAGTTGATTTTCAGTAATATTTACATAGAAAATGATTTTTTTGATATATTAGCAGAAATGTGCTGTATTTTGATAAAATTCACTTATTTTCTGTGTGCTGTTAATCTTCAAAGAAAAAAAAAAGAGAAACATAGTTATATAATGGCAGGCTTCAGTGTTCCCCTTCCAAGATGCATTTTGTTGTTGTTTAGTTTCTATTTTTTTACTGAAAATGAAAAATGTTCACATCACATGTTCATTATGTTATTTTTATCACACACTGCCTTGTAAAGGGAATGCATACAGACAAGTCCAAAATTTTTCCTTGGTCTCCTACATAACCTGTATCTCTGAGAAGGGAAAAGTCCAAAAAGCAGAACTGATTCTTTACTGATCTTGGACTGACTTTGTATACATTTTGCAGTACATTTAAAGATATCACTGAAGAATTATACTGTATTGTATTTTGCTTTATTGGTAACAGAATTTTAAAATATTGTTGTGTCACTTAATTTTCAGATTTATGTATCACAGGAAAATTCTACCAAAAACTGTTTGGCTGTGGTAGAACTATAGAAGTAGAGCTGTGTAGCAAGAAGTTTAGTACTTCTTGTGGAAATACTTGGCCAAAGCTTGTCTTCAGTAAGTTAGCAAATTAACCACCTAATAAAACATGGGTTATGCTGATTTTACTCAGTAAATGTTGGAGTTTTCAGTGGATTGAAGTGTGTTTGTTCCTTCAGTGTCTGTGTTATAAAGGTAAGCATGTGTCAAACTAGATCATTTTGCAGAGAGTGGGGGATCCTCCTGAACTAGTCCAGCCAGAATTCAGCAGGAGAGACAATATTGGCACTTTTCATTTTGAACGCATCTTAAAGGTTGGACTCGATGATCTTGAAGGTCTCTTCCAGACAAAACTGTTCTATGATTCTATTAAACTACATTTTGAATAGAATAAAATCCATCAGCAGCCTAAGTTACTCAGCATGGCAATGAGTTAATGCAAACTCCGTTAATTCTTTCTATTCTTAATAGTTCATTAAAGAATCAGTTCAACTGATGTAATGAAAAGATGAAGTCTCCCACATATTTATTATGTAAATATTTTTTAGTCTCTTTTTTGGACTGGAGTTAAAAAATGTGTATATACTTGAAAGCATTCTATGAACACAAGCATAGCAATAAGCAACACACAGAATCAAACCTTTTTGATTATTTTGGTTTTGTTTAGAAATATTCCCTTGTCAACAGCTACAAAATGTTTTTACTGATCAGCATTTATTCAACATTCCAAATTTTTGTATATAACTAGACTGTTTCTGAGGTAACACATGGAGAATAGATAATAAACTAATGCTCTTTAAAGATGTGTGTAATTGACTTATTTAAGTTTTAGGAAATACCCTGTCACAGTACTTTATTCTATAGTTCTTTAGACTGTAGTACTGTTACCACTATACCTTAGTAAAATCTTGCTTGTGTTTCTGGCTTGGTGCATCTCAGTTGGCCAGGGATCTGGGTAATTCATTGCAAGACTGGGTTATTCACGGCAGAGGAATAGTTCTGTGAGTAACTCTGTCTTGCAGTGAAACCAGCTAGGGCAGCCAGTGGCTTCTCTCCCAGACAGATGGGCAGTCTTTATTTGAGGCAAACTAAGTAGTTTCAGTAACAGAAAGGGGTGACCAAGTCAAGGAGCAGGGTTAAAAATGAGAGTGTCTTGAGAATGCTCTTATGAGGGTTATATGGCAAAGGAAATAAAGAGCTAGGCACAGAATGTCACAGGACAGGTTAATGCAGATTTAAATCCAGTTTTATTGGAAACCACCTGACAATGCAGTAACACAAATTCGTTAGTGTGTTTCCTTGTATATGTGCATCTGGCATATCAGTATCACT